GGGTTCTGATGACGATACTGAAGAGGGAGCTGGGTATGCGAATGATGGCGAGGATGATGAAACGGACAATAGTGTTGGTCAGAGAGCAGGAGCAGCAGCAGCAGCAGTAGCAGCAGTAGCAGTAGCAGCAGCAGAACCCAACCAGCATGCTGCAAAAAGTAGTAGCAGGAGTAGTAGCAGCAGTAGTCGTACTAGTGATTGCTAGTGGTGGTGGTCGTGGTTGTGTTGGTGGTGGTGGTGGTGGTCGTGGTTGTGTTGGTGGTGGTGGAGGTGGTCGTAGGGTCGTAGGTAGTCGTGGTAGAAGTGGTGATGGACGAAGAAGCGGTCTTAATAATCGTAGGTGTTAGTGCACGGGCTGTTGCATGCTTTCTGGCGGCATCCATGGGGAACAGATGCAAAACATAGTAGAATTGGCAATGCTACTCTCAGTGCAGCAACTTTGCTTCCAGACATCATATCAATATCCTAGCTAAGACCATCCAGGCCTGCAGGTCTGACACAGATGCATGGTGGCAAACCTTGGGGTAGAAGACTGCCAGCTTATCCTCAAAAACCATGCACCATTTGAATAGTCTTCTTGCGGTATAGGCCACATGATGCTTCGTCGCTGAGCTGCTGTTCTTTCGACTAAACCCTGCAATGTAGGCTTCGTCCTAGCTAGGTGGGAGGCAACAATGCGCCATTTGACAACATTCTGACAAGGCTTTCGTATCGTGACACAATGTGGAACAGCACCCCGGGGCAACCGAAGGGCGCTGCGCGTACTGTCGAGTCATACTAGCAGCAAGACTTGCATCAAATATCAAGGTCAGCACCAGCAGTCAACATGGCATCGTCCAACCATGACAAGGCAGCAGCAACAAAAGCAAGAATAATTCACTTTCCAAGTACTGGAAGGCAAAGAGTACGCGAGCCGTGAGCACCTACCACCACTGATGGTTGAGCGGGTCGGGAAGCGCCTGTTCACCGAAGGCTTTTAAAGCAACTCCTGTGCAGTTACTGTAGAGGTTGTTCCAAAAGAGGCTTTCGTGCATTCGTCCATACATTGAATAACGTATCAAGACAGCCGGAACAACCTCGCATGGGCTCATGCTCATATCTTTACCTCATGTGCTTAGGCTTGTTGAAGGGGCCCACTGCTCTGCCTTAATGTTACTCCAGCTAAAGGCACAAGAACACCAGTCCACACACGCACACACACACACAAAACGCAGATAAGTACATGTGCCTGTATGTACACTGTGGCAGAAATCCCTGTTCGGGGGCATAAGGGCATGTGCACTGTGAAAAAAGCCCGCAAGCAAACGTGTCTGAACGTGTCCTCTACCCTCCTGCTGTAATGCTGACATACAGAAATCTTTGCCAGTCTCATCCCTTAGTAACAGGGTTGCACACACACACACATGCCCGTAGATTGAACACCTGGAAGCAAGAACCCGAACCAAACATACGCCGTCATGCGCCCACGGTTTGGAGTCTGGAGGCAGTCCCCAAGGCCCTTCGAACAAAGCTCCCTCAGCCGCAGCCGCTTGCCTCGGACTCTCACTGCAGTGTTGGGCTGTTTTGGCTTGTTCCCCGATTCCGCCATCGAAAACAGTTTCGTTGTCGGGATTCAGGGTTTCCAGATTGTACAGTTAGGATGTAGGACTTTTGTTTGCCGGGTTTAGGTTCGAGGCCAGTTGATTAGTCATTTAGGGGCACACTGCCTCTTAGAGCATCCTTGGCACGATACCTGCTCGAGCACCCCAGGCAGGCCCCTTTGCTTCTCGCGCTCCTGCGGAATTGGTCATCTAAGAATCTCATCACGCTACGACCAGGATAGTACGACATTCGCAGTTCCGGCGCTTAGGTTCAGTTCATTGTAGTGTTCAGCCCATGCTCTCTCACACTTCAGTCTTTCAATGCGTGTTGCGTATTTTGGCACAAGGAAGCTTGACTTGAGTCTTCACACTTTATATTATATTACTATTATTATTATTATATCATTATTATTATTACCATTATTATTATTATCTGATACATCGATGAGCAGTCGAGGAATGTCCGAGGCCGTTTGCGTGCTGTCGCCGCCGGTCGTCATCGTCATTTGCCGATGAAAGCGACGCTGCCTTCATCGTGAGATCTCGCGAGTAGACGCAGTAGACGGGAGAATGACATGGATTTCTAGTGTTCCTTTGAGGTGAATAAGCTAACTGAGAAAGTCGGTTGTGTGAAAGTCTGTTTTAACAGAGCTACCACCGCCGTCTTCTAGCACATCCGATTGCCAGAGCATCCAAGGCCGTAGCCGCAGTCTTGATGAATTCGTCAATGCATGCGATTGGCAGCAAATCGTATCTATGATGTCGGGGTTTAAGGGTTCAGGGCTCAGTTGGTCGGCGAGGAACAAAGCGTAGTGACGGTGTACTGCATGGAGCGGGATTACATGAGAGCAAGGCAGATGTCATTTAACATTCTCTGTACCAGTCCGTGCTTGTCATGGAAAAAGATCGAGCAGGTTTGGCGACAAACCCAGTATTAACACCCAAAATATGCTGAGCCGGTGGTCATGGCGTCAAGTCTAGCTGTCGCAGTCATCTTTCGTCGCCAGCAGGAGGACGATTGCCTCACTGGATCACCCCGCCAAGCAGTTCGGCAACCGGACTTGTAGCGAAAACTTGCTTTTCAGGTGGCGTTGGCTCCGTTCACAGTTTTCGCCGTCTACCTGGCCCAAGAATTGGTACCCTTTAAAGATGAGCTACTAGTCAGCGCAGAGGGTTCACGGAAGAAGAGAACGGACAGGTTGAGACAGATACCACCCACAAGAAGAATACAATGCCCAGCTGCTCTGCAGCACAAGCAAACACGGAAATTATTATTTAGCTGCAAATGGTGATGGTGCCATTATATTATATATGCAGTTTCATGTCTATCAACCGAGTCTCCAAGTCCCGGGGTCCAAGATCGAGCTTCCAGAGTAGCCTCGTGAAGGGTGACCTCTGCACTCCGGCCTAACGGTCGGTGTTTTTCATCTTAGGGGCACTCTCTGTCTGTGCAGCTGCCTGGGATTTTCACCGCTCGCAACATCGAAGGTGTGCCTTCCTCAGTTGCGGGGCAAGACGTCGTTCGTTGCATGTGCCTGTGCCGGTCCGACTGCGCCGAAGTTTAAGCTGTGTAGCCCCAACTGTGCAGGGCCGCATCGATCATGGACATGCCAACCTCACCTGGTTTCATCCGAAACTGAGCCAAGCGCTACATAGGCCCCACAACACTACCGAGGTTGCTCCCGGCGTGTATGGCCAGCAGCGGCCAGCAGTCCAGAGCAGGCACACCGGTGCTGGAACAGCTGGACAGTGATGGTAGTGGTGGCGTAGTGGTGGCGAATAGAGCACCCGATTTGCATGTTGTGTGCAGGCCACTCGAGTAGCTGCGATTTTCGCCGTGAGCTGCCTTTCTAGTTCTGCGAGTGCAGGGCACTTGGCTCAAACTATTCGAGACCGAACTCGTTCTTCTCGTTATCATCTTCATCCGTCTCTGGCCGCTGCTCCTCATCACCATAATCTCCCACCATCGCAATCGTGGTATTCGTGATCGCCATCACAAAAAGGTAGGTTCAATCAGATCAGCAAGCCGACAAAAAGCACGACAGAGGAATCAACCGGGATGTGCATAGTGGCTTTTGCCCCAGTTTCTTGCTCAACACTGCGACTTCAGCCGCCATGATGGTGAGACCCGTGGGGAATGCAGACCTGCCGTCCGCTGATTGGGGCTTCGTTGGTGCGACTGTGGCAGGCTGCCTACATGCCTTAGCGATGGCCTTGAGGAAGAAGTTCGGCCACGGCACACAACACTACTACAGGGAGCCGCGGTGGTGGATAGGGGTAGTGACAGACGGCTTGGCAGGACTGGTTTTCAGCTTGGTGACGCCATTTCTGGCTGTGGAGATCTTGCTCCTGACTACATCCGCTTCTCAGCTGGCCTGTGCATATGTGCTTGGCCTTTACATGTTCAACGAGCACGGCAACATGTGGCAAAGGGTGGGCTTTGGCCTCACGGCGACTAGTGTGATACTGTTGAGCTTCTCTAAGCAAGAGAAGGCGAGTCCAGCTACCCACTTCTGGCCAATGTGGCTGCAGCCTCACTTTCTATTGGCCAATGGTGGTTGGCTGCTTGTCGCTGGTTTCTGCTTTGCAATTATAAGCGACAAGAATGGCTATGCGGTGTTTGCTGCCTACATGGACGGTGTCCAGTTCTTATTCACTCGACAGCTGTCACAGAACCTTGAAGGACCCGGAGGATTACACATGGACGCGCAGTTCTGGGAGTTTGTCGCATGTAAAGCATTTTGTGTCATCTCGGTGCTCCATCTGCAGCAGTGTGCCCTTGCAGAAGACAACTTCTCCGGCTTCAAGAGCATTGGGACAGTCCTTCCCTTGCTGCAGAATCTCACGACGTGCTCTTTGGGTGCTACCTTCTTTGGTGACACTGTGAAGGTGACCGTGCCTGTGGTGTGTGCCCTTGCCCTAGCACCCGTCGGGATGTGGCTCTTGGCGCAGACGCCGGCTGTCAGACGCAGATCTCAGCTAGCTGAGGAACCAACATGTGAGTCTCGACTGGCCGAGCCGGAGACGTGAGTCTAGTCGTCAAGCAGGGCTGTAGAATGCCAGTGATGACGATGAGGGCGGCGAGGATGCTGCTGGTGACGATGATGAGGATGATGCTACAGTTCTTGAAGCTGCTGTTGCATGTGATTCCGGTTTCTGTTGTTCACGATGTCCCTCATGATGCAGCTGAAAAGGAAAGACTCGGCGTGCATCCTCAAGTCTTTGACCCACACTGACTACAAGCCTGCTTCTCGACAACAGGTGCGGACACTAACAGTCACTAACAGGAAGCTTTGCCATCAGCCCTTCACGAGCAAGGCCTTGTTAACACAGAGTCCGCTCTAGCCGTCTCGAGCACCAGGCAGTCGAGATGTGCCACTCAACATCGCCATTTGCATCGACATGGCCCCTCGGCACACCTGCCGCAGAGACGGTGGAAAGAGCTGCTGCAGACATTCAACACAGCCCAACATAGACGTGCACCGCTCTCCGTCTTGTCATTTCTCCTTATTAGGGGAAACGCCCGTTACACTCTTCCAGGAAAGCAAAAGCTTCCAAAGCTGGGGGACCCTGGAGAAGGCCCTGAAGCAACCACCCGAACATCAGTCCCGCGCTCTTTCGGATCCTTTCATACGGTAGAGTAATAGCAATAGTAATAGTAATGCAATGAGTGGGTTTAGGGTGAACCAATGCTTACATCTTGGAACGGAGCCCGAAACCCGAACATGCCCGGCATCCGGGGTCCGCGTGTCTGCAATTAGGGGTCGACGAGGTGGGTCATCGCCAGGTATTCACGTAGGGACCAGAAAACGCATAACTTCGGCTTGATGGGCCCTGCAGTCCGCCCAAGCTTGTTGGGTCTCAGGAGCCCAAATTTGGTCCAGTACTGCTTCCGTTGACCATTGAGACGCCGCCCATGTGCCTGGCCCGCATGTTGTCGATAATTGCCGGAGCCTCCCCACATCAAAACAACAGTACACGATTGCGAACAGCGGGGGACCTGAACTCCAAAGCCACCAAGGTCTTCTGAAACTGTAAGGTGGAGGGCCTGGGAGAAGAAGAGTCCGGTTTGGACAGAGCCACGAAAGAGTGAGAATCGAAAGGGTTTACGTTGGAGTTCCCGATCTTGTTCAACACTCACAAGTTATGCCTTCGATGCTACATGAGTTGCAGGGCCAGCAAGCAGCCGGCGGCCCGGAAATCACAAGGGTATTTGGCTTTAGGATATCAGGCTTCGAGGGTTCTTGAGTACTCAGGTCCTCGACTCCTTACTGCCAAACTCGCGGAACTTCTGGTCCCCGAGCCCCTCAAGCTGAAATCATCAAGCCGAGGCAGCTTCGTTTTTTGAAGATTCTTGGCGACGTGCTTGAAGCATGCCGACATGGAGCCGTATGTCGGGAGAACGACCCTCGACGTTCCATTCAAACTATTTTTGTCAGACATGAAACCTTTCACCAAAGAATGCTTGCATCTAAGCCGGGAAATGGCAGCGGGCTTTCCACAGGTTCGGCGCGACCGTGACAGCACGCTTCAGGCACTTCGAGTAGCTTCTGCGTACGTAGAGGCTTTTACTTGTAGCTAGCTGTAGGGCAAGTTTGGCTTTGGGTGCGAACAGCCAAACAGGCGTTGGAGCTGCAAAACTGGTTGCGGGGCTTGAACGCTAGCTTGCAGTCCAGATACTTTTTTTGCGCAAAACTGGGCTTGCGGACGCAACTCCTGTTCAGACCAGGATTGGTCGTAGCAGGTTTTGGCGGAGCGCACCCTCAACATGTCGATTTGCTTCATTTTGCTAGAACTTTCAGCGTCCCTGCCATTACTACCCTTACCGATGGTAGCCCAGGACCGGATCAGCTTCAAGCAAGCCACTCGGCGAGAGATCGCGAAAGATCTTATGGCGGAGGAGAGCAGGGCTCAGGCTTAGGCTGCAGGTAGCGCTACAGAATTGGGTTTGGGACCGTAGGATGTAGGGATCTCTTGTTAGGCATTGGTAGGATTAAGGCTTTCCAGGTGTTTCAGGGTTGGCCGGGTGGCTGTGTGGCACGGTTAGGGTCAAGGGCTGGCGGTTTAACACAACTTACTTCTGGTCAGGAGCTGAGGATGTTTGAGACGTATACATGTGCCGGTGCAGCAGAAGGGATGGAACAGTTTAGAGTGTAGGACTTGGGGCAAGTCAAGTTGGTGTTCCGCGGTGGGCGGGGTGACATCAGCGTATGAATTGCTCCCTCGCCCTGGCTTCACAGTCGCTGCAATGCGACGACAAGGGCACTTGAGGGACTGAGTTTACTGCTTCCGTGCTCCTTGAATGCTTTAAGTTTGGGAGGACAGGTCTGATCGGGGAGCTTTTGCTTGGTTGTCGCGCGGTTTACAGCCTGTTCATTCCAGTTCTCATCACGGACTACCATCTGTGTGCCTCTTGGTACTCGGCCACTGCTTGTACATAGCCAAGGCCGTCGACAAAGCACGAACCATCTCAGCAAACTCCGTGTTCAATTCCAAAATCAGGCTGGGACACGATTCCAGACGTGGGACATGGGGTTTAGAATGCTGGCATGCTTCAGCCGGGTTCGAAGAGGATGTAAGACGTCGCGAGACACGAAACATGCTCGTCAACAATGGCCATTTCTCGGTTACTGGTTCCCGGCTACGACCGACACCTCGAGATGCCAAGCATTGACAGTAGTGTTCCTGCTCCTGTTGAAGCAATGACCCCTGTTACTAATACTGTAGCTGCTGGTAGCTCATCGTTGACATCACCTCTGCGCCGCCCATCGTACTGCGAATCGCAGTACTTATTATGTAAACCGGCCTGCTGCCACGAGAACAATCTCTCACGGGAAGAAGGTAAGATCAAGCGCCGCCATCGGGAATCGGCAACTGTTGCAGCCAATATAACCGGCTAAGTGACGACAGCGATGGGAACCGAGCCGACAGTACCCGCAAACATCCCACTGATCCTACCGTGATAGTTTGAACAATAACGTAACTTAGTAGCTACACCACTGTATTGCTACTCTGAACATATTCGCAATCCCATCAAAACAGAGAAGTGAAAGCCGCCGAAAGCAAGCTTGGAATTTCTCTGCCATGAGAAGGCGCGGCTTCACCACTCCTACCGGGCCACGGCTTGCGCCAACGGAGTTGCAGGAGAGGCAGCCGCTTGACTCGCACTCCAAGTGTTGACATTCGGGGCTGTTCAATCTGGCAGTTTAGAGGCTTTGAGAACCTAGGGTTGATGTGCTTGAGACTTGATACAGTTTGCAGGCTGGCGGCTTTAGGGGTGTAGGCCCGAGGACATATCCGCGGTCCTCCTGAACGTGGAGATGTGCAGGCTGTCTAGGTTCCGGGACGAAGCCGGCTGTAGATTTCGCATTTGGTTCAACGGTGCAGGGCTTCTAGCTCCATGTTTCTATTTTCTAAGCCCCTCATGCATGAGGCCCCTTGTCAAGTCCTGGAGTGCTTCCCGGTTACAAGTCACCTGACTTGTCCTAGTTTCTAAGGGATCACAAGATGCCGCCGCCACGGACGAAGAGCCTCCATGGCCCGGCCCTTCGGCTCAGCTCCTCCGATTTCCGCAGCTGCTGATAGAGATTGCTGGGTAGTGTGTGCTGCTGCTGCTACGACGATGACGACGGCCTAGCTTTGGTAGTACTACGACGACAACTAGTATTAGTATTGCTGGCTTTACAGCATGGTGGTTCGAGGTGGACGGAAGCTATGGTGTGTACTGGCTGAGGGCTGGAATGTTGGAAGCAATTTACATGCTTACGAGCGTGGTCGACCTCTTTCGCTGCTTAATCCATTCAGTCCTCAGACCCTGAACCTTGCGTTCGGCATGTTGGAAGGCCTACTGGGCTGGTCTCGGCCTGCTATGCGCGAGCTCGAGGAATCCTTAAGCTTACACCTCGAGCTTGCCCTTATCTCAGGCACACATGCTCACCCAGATCGGGGGAAATATTGAGATGAATCCCATTGCCGAAAGCTCGGAGGACTTGGGTTCCCCCGTCCCCTTCTGAGGCCAAAGAAACTTGCCCTTGCTCCTGGCTATGCCGACGGCCCTTTTCAGATTCATCGTAAGAATAAGTTGCGCGGCAGTGCTATGAGTCGAGACAACTTGGAGAGGTGACACCTGCAGTGAGAATCAGCCTCCGACATCGATTTTCAGGAGGATTCCCTGGAGTCGTCGAACGAGAAGCCGCCAGTGCGAGCAGTCACTGTTGGTGCCTGGGCGCAGCATGTAGGAGCTTTTGAAAAATTGTCGTTGACCTGTATACACACCCTGCAGACGGCAGGAACCGTAGTTGCCGGTGCACTTGCGTCGTGTTCAGTTCTGGTGGAACCAACAAAGGGCAGGACGACAAGCGTAGAGTGGGAGTAACAACAATAGTCAGGAGGGTGGAATATCTCTCGCGAAGATACGGACGACACACTGGCTCAGCATAAGCACTTGCAGCTGACTAGCAAAAGCAGCACGTACCAGTCCACGAGTATTCCGCAGTTTTTGTGTTTGCAATGTGTTTTGAGATTTGTTCCTTTCGCATTTCTGGCCGGCGAAATCGACTGAAGGATGAGTTGCAGAACGCATCGTGTGGCCCGTACTTGCATCATGACCCGTATTTGCTGAGGATGAGGATGATGACCAGGATGATGAATTTGTTCAGGAGTGGTCCTGAGGATGGTGTATACGAGTGTGTTTCATACATGGGAATGTAGAGTAATGTAAACTTTGGTACAGTAGAGTGAACAGTCGCTTTTGTGTTCGTACATACATACAGTCGCGCACAGAAGCATATGGTTGAAAGCTGCCTTCGTAAAGCTGTTGCGTGAGACCCGACAGCGGACACATGCTATGCGGGATGAGCATGAACCAGGGAAATTCTTCCTTGAAAGCATAAGCAAGGGTTGCCAAGTACAACAGCCGGTCAGGGTAAGCCTGGTAACAGAAAACTAGCATAGACAACCTGCGGCATGCCAGTACGCAAGCGGCAGCAGAAACACTGTATGTTCTCGTAATCAATGAATTTAACACTACTCCTTCCTTGCGACGCCGTCGCAGCCCTAGACGGATTCGGAGCAGTAGACATTTAAGTGCCCTCAGAAAATGTAGCAGCGCTCAGGCGCTCGTGACGTCACGCAAAGGCAAGAGCCCCTATGCCAAGATGAATCTGATCACCTCATGAAACTGTGATTGTTCTGTTTAAGCCAGAACTGTTATTCTTGAACGATGTACCTGCAGACCCACAAGCCCAAGCTGCCTCGACCAGGCCATCTGGCGCCTCCCGAAGACAAGCAGGCTTTAGAGCAAGACGGCTATCGCTGTTGTCAGGGCCACGTACTGTAGTTCTCTGCTCCAGCAACATCTGCAGACTGCAGCACTCTGAAGTTCTTTTTCGCAGTCTGCTTACAGGCATAGTGGTGTCCTCAATAGTTGTTGTTGGAGCATTGCCCGTATCGTGCTTCCTGTTCTGCTCAACCTGCTTCAGCAGTGCTGCTGTTGCTGCTCGTTGCTGTCCAGCAGCGCTTCATGTTCGATACATACCATATAAGCACAATACAAACCCATAAGATCTCTAGTTTCCGGCAATTTAGGGTTTAGGGTTTAGCCGGTTCAGCTTTCGTTATCATCTACTAGACAGGCCTGGGCCTTGACCGGAGGCTTTAGATGCAGGATCAAAGCCAGGTTTCGGGATATGGAACCTTAGCAAAGGTTGCAGAGTCGTGTGCCGACAACCAGCAAGCCTGTTTCAAACTGGATTTGGGGGTTGAGTGTTTAGGGTTGTGGGTTATTGTCATGGCTTAGTTCTAGTTCAAGGATCCTCGAGGCTGAAATTCGCTGAAGGACTACTCTGACTTTAAAACGCGGCTGTGACAAAGCGCAGCTTCGGGAGGATTTCGGGACAGGTCTCTTCCTGTAAAGGTTGCTCAAGCTATCCTAACCTCTGCACTTTCCACTCGATAACTTCCTGCTTTCCAGGGGGATGTCCCGCCGAAGGGCATATGAATTGGGATGCCGTGCAGCAGACCTAACAGTTCCGCATTTGGTGTTAACGCACTACTGAAAGGCCAGGAAATCCGAAGGGGCGAATACCTGAAGCCCGACAGACCTCTGCAATACAGGATTTGGGTTGTGTGGGCATTGCCTTCAACTTCGCAGGTCCATCGCCCTCGTAGCTTGGGGGACTTGCCGGCCTTCGACTTGGCAGAGCAGGTCGAAGCACCGGCTGAGAGTTTTTGCTTTTCTCGGGGCTCCTGGATGATGTCACCTCCTCAAACGTAGATATCCCGACACGGGAAAACACTGAAGTTTGCTGATGCTGACAGGCATGTACGATTCCGAGGTTCGAAACCGCAAGGCCGACCTGGTAGCATCGAACAACAGGGACGGTACGTTCAGTCAGGATGCCAGTTGTGACAAGGAATCTGTTTTACTAGTTAGACAAACCTGCCAGGCAGAAACAGTCACAGCGACACAGTGTCAGTAGCTGGACATCGCAAAGTGAGAGATTCGTTTTCACTGTGAGAAAGGCCCGTCAGATCCGCTAGCCTTGAAGAGCAAAAGTTCTGTACCGGAAACATGCCTACAGGTTCATGTTCACAAAAAAGCCGTCTCCCGAGACGGCATTGTGACCAGCAGCAGTGCGCCGGCCACAGCACCAGTAGAAGCACCAGAGCCACCAGAACAAGAATCACCAGCAGCCATCGTAACAGCTGCAATATCAATTATTTCATTGATGTCCAAGTGTGCACCATTCGTCAGCACACCCACAGGAGCGGTCGGACGACGAAAACAGCCCGCGGCTTTCATTACCTGGTGCTTTCCACAGATTGCCGCATTGCCCACAGGGATATCGGGTTTCCGCGGAGCTTCGCGTTAACATTGAGCATAGTGCGATGTCTCGAATCCCGGTGTGAGTGCACGTGGAGGGTATCCTTACTTGGGGCGCTCGTTGTAATAACCGAAGGTCAAACATGTCAGACTCATGTTGAGTTCTTGAATGTTAACGCCGTGCTGACCATGGCTATTGTTGATTGTTCCTTTTTTTTTAAATGTTGGTTGTTGCCACGAACATGTGATAGACTAGATTGCACTGGCGCTACTTGCGGGTTGATGAATGTAGGGTCCCTGCAGGTCCAGGAGCATCATCAATCATCACGTGTTGCAGAGTCGCCCATATGCTTCAGACAGATCTGGTTAGTGTTCAGAGGCATGGTAGGTATTGCAGCTTCGGGCTTGTGCGAGTCCATCGGTATGCGGTGTGGGGCCAGTAGTACAGCCCGCAGGAAGGTCAAGAACATCTTTCTCCGAACAGCTTGCTCGGGTTTGCACCGAGCATGATGTGGACATGTATGCACATAAATGCGTTTGCATGGCTATGCGGCGTTATACTAAGGTATGCGTGCCTGCTTGCATGGGATGAAACAGGTGTGTCAGTGAGAAAGACTGTCATCGCCGAGCGTACAAACACACAATCTTTTACATACCTACAAGCTCCGATGCACGGAAGTAAGACAACGGTACCGAGACAACCATGGAAGAGACTTGGAAATGAAAGGCCGGACAGAAGAACTAGATACGGCGTCCGGACTAGTTAGTACATCTGGCAAGACGCGGTGTGCAAGTGTTCGGCGGCATGATGTGTAAATTCAGCTGTGCAGAACCGAGAAAAGTGCGCCTTTTCCACGTGAGAAGGCCTTGAAGGAAGAGTGCAATTGCATGCCACGTAGTCCAGAGACGTTTGCCCTGATCGTTCGATGGATATCCCTTACTCTTTGCTTTAGCCTAGCCACCGAGTCCTGCACAGCACCCAAGAAAGAAGCAGTAATGACATCCTAAACTAAACCCCCTTTTTTTATCTCATCAAGTCAAATCGAGCCGCCATCGAGCTGCCCTTCGGGAGCCATAAAATCGATGCTGCCAGGTGATGCTTCCAGTGATGAGGAGAGTGGATCCCCGTCGGCAGAAGTGCATCCGTTTTGCCGAGGTTACGAAGGTGTTCTTTAATCGGAGTGTTCAAGGTTGTGGAACTATGCGGCAGCATGGTAACTCCTTCGGCTCTCACAATTGTGGACAAGCTGGGGGTCCGGTTTCGACTACACTGGGAGCAACACACCGTCGAGGCTGAAGCTTCAGGATTTGATCAGTTTCGTGGCAGATGAAGCTGCTGCTTGAGAGGCTGCTACTGACTTTGCTTCTGCTGCTCTGCTGCCACTATTCCTACCACTGCTGCCACGGCAAATGCTTGTGCTCCTGCTGCGGTTCTGTGCTGCTGCTCCTACGGGTGCTACTACCTTGAGTTCTGGGTCACGATCTCGTATCATCCACTGTTCCTAGTCCTACTGTAGCCTTCCTGGCATATCCTGTTCGGTTCCCGTCGGGCGCTGTGTGCTCCACTATGAAGCCTCATCCCAAAGACTACGAAGCTGAGTCTCTGATGAACAAAGCTTCTCGTCTCGTAGACACCAAGTGTTCAGGCTGAATGGCTCACAGAAACAGGGCTTGAAGCTTGTGAGGTGCTGACTCAGGTTACCGTCAAATTGTATGGTCGTGAGTGCAAGCTAAGCGTGCTGAAACAGAAGAAAGGGTGCAAACCATGTCCTTCCCACGCGTCGCCTTTGCTGCCGCGCTCTTTGGGGTCAGTGTTCTAAGCTACGGCCCCTGCGATAGTCAGGAGGAGGATGACGATTCGGCGATGCTCATGCACTCAGCGCACATCCGAAATTCGAGCATCTCTTGTAACACGGTTCGGATGTATCGACACTGCGTACGATCAACGACTACGAAGGTGAAGGGGGCTAGTCGCGACCATGATGACCTCGCACACTACACAGACTTGCCGCTACCTGATTGGAACACGCCGATGAAGTGGTGCACCGACCAGGGTTCTGCACTTATCAAAAGTGAAGGAAAGAAGCTGAGGCAGCGAGAGCCCAAGATGGATCTGTCGAGGCTGAAGGTAGTCGTGGATACGGATCAGCGTGACGCTATCACTGCAAACTCCCTACTGCAGGGGCTTGCTGGTCAGGGTGAAATCTTTGCAGCGCGGGTGGAATATTTCCCCGTGCTCTTCAATGCCTTCAAACCTGGGGCTGGCGCGTCCGTTTGCAAATCTCCAAGCCAGCAGCTCATGACAGCACAGAAACAGCAGCGACTGGACACGACACCGATGCCCATGGGTGTCGGTCTTGCCCACGACATGAACCAGACAAGGTACAACGAGGTGTTGGAGCTTTTCGAGACCTTATTCGGAGTTGGTGCTGCAGGCTCTCTAAAGCAGATGGCCAATCCACCCGTTATCGACAACCAGACAGGACAGCTGAAAGGGGCTCCTGTCGTGCTGAAGCTTCTTGCAACGAACTTGATTTTTGCTTACGCCTCTAACATCACCATCGCAACCCATGTGCCGGCAAGCCGGGATCAGATCTTCGAGCTCAGCGCCTGGATCCATTGGCAGCGTCGGATCGCACAAGTACCGGCCCTTCTTGTGCCAAAGAAGGCTTGTGGTGCCCTTTCTATCATTGCCATGCTTCTAGGCAAACCCAGGCAGAAACATGCTATTTACGTGGGGCATGACAGCGATCTTGATGCCTTGGCACATTTTTTTCAGATTACATGGAAAGCGCCTCCTTTTCCCGCATGGAAACCGACACCTCCGGGGTCATCACTGCGCTTCACATCCTTAGGTGACAGCACAGCCTTGGTGCATTTCACATACCAGGTCTTCGACTCCTCAGACGACCCTGATGTTAAGGTCGTGCCCACCTTGCCTGGCCGGGTGAGTTTGTTTGAAGTCAAAGCCTTCATCGAGACGCAAATCACGGAGTTTGCAGGTGAAGAGTGCTTGAAAGTTTGCACCTCTCTGAGTGCGAACATGTGATGGGCCGCTGGAGACCAGATTCCAGGAGGTACAGGTCCAGCCATGAATCCTAGATCAAATTCACCCTTTGCAGACTCTAGTGCGTGGATCGCTTAGCGACAAGCTGGCGTGCTGAGTCCGCGACCAAAGCAAAAGCGATTTCCTGCTCACGGACGCAGCGGTTCATGGTTTAGTCTACGCCCCAATTACACGACCAGAAAAGGCAAAACGCACATTTCCATGTCCGGCCTAGAGTCTAGATGCGATGGTAGAGACAGAAAAAATATGCACCGAGGATCGCCCGTCTTGCCGCTGCTTCAGCTCATAAGCAGCCATGACGACCTGCCGGAGGCTCCACATGACTCTTGCGGGAGTTAGGAAAAGACAGTAATCCAGAGTTGACTGTGGGGGCGGTGCGTAGTACGGATACACCAGTTGATGATGATGATGATGATGATGATGACGATGGCGATGGCGATGACGATGATGGTGGTGGTGGCGGTGGCGGCGGTATGTCTCAAAAAGTGCTCGGCACAGCACCTAGTAGTTGCACCAGAAGCACAGTCTGCCGTTGTGGTGCCGGCATCAAGACGAAGGGGAGGAAAGGCAAGTGGCAGCAGTGGGGAGAGGATTAGAGGCAGGATTTTGGAGCGGTGTCGTCAACCGCCAAACCGGACAACCGACTTTACCTCCTCTAGCCGTAAGTCGATTGCTTTCTGCAGGGCAGCGGTGCAATGAGCCCTGTGATGCGAGATGCGGCGCCTGGCTTGAACGGCTGGATCGGTATTTTCTTTCTGTCACATGCACACCCTGCCCAAGACCCGAAGCCAAGCAAGAACCTTCAATAAGTCCAACACAGCCAAACCGTGAGACCCTACAGTACATCTTGCAAGATGCCTTTCAATGGTGGCTCGCTGGATTTGCCATCCTTCTGCTTGTGGGAAGAGGAAGATTCTGAAATGTCGTGGATGCTGAAGGGCATCGACAATGCGAATTGGTAGACCCTTATGTGCTGACTTCGGTTGGAAGCATTCAAGATGCCTGTTCTGAGTATTTGATCAGGTACCTTGTGGCCGTTATGCTAGTGGACCCGACACTTCCGATTGTGAGTCGTAGCCCAGGAGTTTTCTGCTGCCAGCTGCCCCGTGAGTGACCTGCGTGGCCTCCGAGGCAAAGGGCCAGGGAAAGCTTCACGGGTTTAGCGTTTGGGGGCCTGGAAATTTTGCGTTGGGAGCTTGTTGTGCACGACGGACTGTGGTTTCGCCCACAAAAGTACCCTCTGCTGGCAAGGTTCTTTGAGTCCACCTCAGCACAAAAGCACCTCGGCATACCTTCGCACTTCAGTCTGTGTTCTCGTTTGGTCGTGATGAGGTTCCGATGTGGAGTGAGAGACAATGCCACGCTAGCAATAGCGATTCTACTATCATGGTTTTGATCATGGTGATTTTGATGACGATGATACTGATGGTTGCGATGATGATGCTGATGACGATGATGGCGATGATGGTGGCGAGGGCATGACTCAGTGGGTGTTAGCTTGGGGTGAGGAGTTCTGCCGGTTTGAGGCAATAGCTGCAATCATCGTCCCGCCATTGCTGTATGTTGGGAGTAGGGTCATAGAATCGGTTGCCATCTACTGTCACCACTTCTATTGGCACTGCCACTACAAGAAAGATTGCTAGGTTATCTGCGATGATGATGACGACGACTGCAGCAGGACTGCGACTGCGATAGCGACGGCGGCCATGGCAACATCGACGACCGTGCGGCTAATGCTTCTACTACGGCATCTGCTGCTAGTGCTACTAGCTGCTAGTGCCGATGCTGCTACCAGTACCACTACCACTACCGCTACGGCTGCCCGCTGCCACTACCACTACCACTATAGTTTTCATTGTCGTTCCTACGTTTCAACAGACCGCACCCGTCGACCCTCGCTGGGGTTTGTTTGACAATGCCTGGCCGAGCCTGCTCAGCTGCCGCTGAGGTCCGCAGGGACCGAGCCCGGACAGTTCCGGAGAGCCCTTGGTGAAGCAGGCGCAAGTGCCTCCAAATTTCATTGTTTGAGCTTCGGAAAATTTCGGGCTTGCGATGTAGACTACTGTTCCATGGCTTTGGGGTTGGAGGTTTTCGGAATTGTGTTTGCGGTTGCCGACTTAGGGATTCAATGTAAGTTTGCCAGCCCCAACTCAATCGGATTCGTGACATTTCAGGATCTACGGCAGAGGGAAGGAGCAGCGAATCCTTTCGGAGGTCACTAGGAGTGTGTAGGTGTGCCTAGGGAGTCATGCGATTTTTTTCCGACGATAAAACAAATTGTCTTAACGTTGAGCTATATCGCTGGCTTGGACATTCGGGGCCTAGGGCTGTGGGGCTGTTATCTTGGACCAGGACTCAATGCCCTGATTTTCAGGTTCCAGGGGCTTTTGGACTCTGCGTCGGGTGGTTCTATGGATGGAGGCTTGATCTTAGTGGCAGCAGTGGCATCATCGTGCGAGATCTAGCAAGAGGATTCTAGTTGCCAGTGCGCTTACGCCGTCACCAGATGTAGTGGAGGCAGACAGTGTTGATGATGCTGGCAGTGAAGAAGTGATGATGTGATGAGGCCGCGGATGCCGATAGCGACCATACTGGTGATGACGAATAATAATAATATTATATAAGAAGGTGATGATGACGGGGTTCTCAGAATAATCAAGAGTGTGATGCTGTGGCTGTTGGCGAAGATGGTGCTGCCGACGATGCTGGCACAGAATGTCTTTCGATGGTGGTACTGCTCATGCCGAACATGCTCACAATCGCTACGGTGATGCTGTGGTTAGATAGGAAGGCTACTACATAGTTGAATGGTTGTTTTGGTTGGATCAAGTTGTTGCTGCTTTCGCTGCTCCACGTATTGAAAGTTTAAACGCCGCAGTTTAGGCACATGGTAGCAGCGTGCTCTCGACGGTCTTGTTCACGATCAGTCTAGAACTGTCAATAGCACAAGTTCAAGCTTGAAAGAACTGCCAGCAACAATTGTGGTGAAGATGACACAGGAGGCGTGCTGGGGTGGGACAAATGGAAGTATCAGTCGTCATAGTTATGCCAGTTCTGCATATTGAGAGTATTTGCAAGCCTTAGAGCTCCCATTCCGAAATTCGCCAAACTCCGGACTCAACTTTTTCGGATTGCCCGGCCCTATCTTTCATACAATACATACCCCAACCTGAATCCTGAAGCTGACGGGACGCCTTCACTTGAGGTCTCGTTCAGAATGTCAGAGGACGAAGATGATGACGAGGACCTGACAGCTGCGCGCCATCTCCGTAATCTCAAACCATCTCAAACCCTAGACCTTCAGGCTCTCCAGCCTTGTGGGATTCTAAGTACCCTGAACCAAGACCCCGAGCGAGTGATTTGATGCTGGACCCGGATTGTGCGGTCTCATCGGTTTCAATCTTCAACCCGACTTGACTAGACCCGAGAAATTATCCCGCGAAAACGGAGACTGTGTCTACGTGTATCTGAACCTATCTCACTCCAAGTATGCGCAACACATCTGGTATATCAGTGATCTAGATACAGAGAGACGGATGCATACATATATATATATATACACATACATATACCCACACAGCAAGCACATGTATTTTTATACACATATGTCTTTTTATATACGCGCACACACAAACACCGCTTTCTCTCTCTCTCTCTCTGTCGACACACACACACATGTATGTGTGTGTATATATATATACATATGTGCGTCTGTGCATACATATATATATATATGGTACCC